CGGACGACTCTGATGAATCGCCAGACGTATACGCGAGCGAAACGGGCGGGCGAGCAGGCAGGCAGGCAGGTAAGGATCGGTAAGAATCGGCCCCGGTGATTATTTCGACGAAGAAAAAGTCCCGGACGACTCTGATGAATCGCCAGAGGCGTCCTCCTTGGCGGCCGGTGTCAGCGACTCTTTCCTCTTCTCCTTCTTCGTCTCATCTCGTTCGTTTGCCCTTCTCTCCTTTTCTCTATCTCTCTCTTTCTCTGTTTTTCTTCTTCTGCCAACTTTCTTCTGCAAGCACCGGCTGGGCTGGTCCGATAAACGCGAACACGCGAGGGACGGGCGGCTATTACAATAACCGGTGTAGGTACGCGGTTCCTGCTCAAGGTTGCGACGAGAGGAGACGGGCGAGCGATCCCTCGAGGAGAAAAGAGGAGAAGAGACTCTCGAGGATTTCCATTCTTTCGATGAGGGTCCTCCTTGGACGAGCGAGTTTACGCGAGCGAATGGAGCGCGTTAGGAGCGAAGCGATGCTGAAGGGAAAAAGGTGAATGTCTTGGGAGCATCATATGCATAATCCGACGCGCTGCTGCACTTGACGCGCCACTCGTGTGTCATGCGGAATGCGCATATTAGTTTTCTGGAATTTGCCTTGGAGAATTTAATGCACGTTAATTTTAGATAACAGCAAAGTCCTATATATAAGGTGTCCGCCCATAAATGTCCGAGCAAATATCTCACAACTGATGGAAGTTACAAGAAAGTTTAATAAGAGAAATTAGCATAGTTTTTAGTAAATAAAGCGTATATAAAATTTTTTTGTTTTACTGGTAACCTTTTCAAGTTATGAAACATCTTTTTTTAAATGGAACTCTCTATTTTTTATTATATATTCTTATAGCTCTTCTTGAGATCTCTTCAAAACACTATAATAAAGTATTTTTTTCATTAACTATTTTTCGAATTATTTTACATCTTAATCTGGCATATTTTGATATAAAAAATAAAATATCTCGTAAAATATTTAGTTTTCGATAATCTTACCGTAACTTTTATGTACAGAATAATGAAACAAATCAATTTGTGTAAAGAAAATAATTGTTTTTAAGAAAAAGGATGTAATTATTTACAATATATTTTTTTTAACAATTATTTGTTTTTTTTGTCCTAATTGATTTGTCTCATTATTCTGTATATAAAAGTATTACGGTAAGATTATCGAAAACTAAATATTTTGCGATATATTTTATTTTTATTATTAAAATATGTGAGATTAAAATGAAAAATAATTCGAAAAACATTTAATAAAAAAAAAAATTTATTGTAGTGTTTTGAAAAGGTCTCAAGAAGAGCTATAAGAATATGCAATAAAAAAATAAGAGGTTCTATTTTTAAAAAACGGATTAACAACTGTGCTAATTTCTCTTATTAAATTTTCTTGTAACTTTAAGAAAGAAAAAAGAGAAGAAAAAGTGTGACGGTTTTCGAAATTACGCTCGATACATTTGAAAATTCCGTACAAATATGGAAATACGCGAGTCTTCTTGGACTTTATCTTTCACTCCGTTGATTCCGATCGATATAGGAAATCTGCGAGTGAGAGCAGAAAAAAAAAAAAGTAAAAAGGTACCCCCGAGAGAGAGAGAGAGTCACGCGATCAAGCGTGTTGGCATATCAAATGCGCCACTCACGCATTTATTCTTGAACCGTGTAAATCAATGTTAATTATCTTTTCGCACTTTTTACGCATTGAATAATTTGTCACTAAATCGTTGCGTGTATAGATATTTCGAATTAATTTGGATTGTATTAATTATTCGAATATTTCCTGCGATTATCCATTTTCTTCGCATTCGAATTCACTTTGTGGCCTTAATTAAGGCAGAATCGCGTCGCGGGGATTTTCCAGCTGCGATCAATCGGCTTCCAGCAGCGAAGTTAATTCACCGACACTGCTGAGCGTTGCTCCGCTCATCGCCAGAGTAGAAGACGCGCGAACGAAAAGGGGGAAAAGGGGGAAAAGGGGGCAAGGTGAAAAAGAACGATGTGATCGAGAAGCATGCGATGAGCGAATATTCGCGTTCGCGACGATGTGAATATTCTTCGCGGAGAGATCTCTTTATTCCTTCCGCGACTGCCACAATGCGCACCGTTATTCGCGCGAACGCGAAACCATATTCGCGTAACGGTGAGGTCGAAGAAAAGGGAGACAAAGAGAAAATATATTCCGCGGTATTCCGTTCGCTTCTCGCGTAGGTAGCCGGATAGAAAATAGGCACTTGTCATTGCTGATTTACCTGGGTATAGAATGAATCGCGATGCCTCTCGAGAAACACACGCATCGATCACGATCAAAGTAACACTCGAGCAGCTGTTCTTCTCTTTTCCTCCACATAATATACGCCTTTCGAGAATTATTTCTTAAATAAAATTACTCATGAAAAAATTCTTATTTACTTATTTATATGAAAAAAGATATTTATATCTCATTTTTTTTTCGTTATCAAACTCATTGGAATTGAAAATTAATTGGAATTTATAAAAAATATAGATAACGTATCTTTCCAGTATGTACGCGCATGACAGCGGGAGAATTTTTATATTCCTTCGAGGAAGCGAAACTGGTTTTTTATCGCCACCTATTAAGAAACCGATGATTTTTCCGATCAGATCGACAAAAGATCTATATACCGGATTATTGTGTACGATTTCGATCCGTATCTCGGGAGGATCGCGCGGAGCGATCTTTCCTGCGGTCGAAAGGGCCTTGCGGGTTCCCAAAGCGCCGCGCATCGCAACGAAGATGCCGGGCGTGGATAAGGATTCAACGGAAGAGAGCCCTCGATTTTATGGAACCTGTTCCCACCGTGAGTATCCGTGCGCGTCCCCTCGCACCAACGGGTTTACTTGGACGGCGTTATGCGTATACGCTTCATGCTCTTGAGCACGGAGCCCGCTCGTAAATTAACGTCGTTCGCTCGTATAACGGCCGACTGGACCGGGAAATCCGAAAATCCGACGACAGTGTCTTAATTAAAGACCCAGCACGAATCAATCCACGGCACCACGCGACGAAATCTGATAAATGAATTTAAGATAGGAGTATAAAGTTCTGGAGTTGATTTTTCTTCCCTCAAATAATATATCAGAAAAAAATCATTGTTTCTCTGTCAAATAATTTTTCAAATAAAATTTAACAGTTAGATATTATTATAGATTTATATCACACGGAACTCTATTAAAGTAAAGTCTACTTCGAAACAAGATTTATTGTATGTTAATCATGCTTCCGATTATTACCATTATCAACTGCTTATTATTATTACTGTTATATCTATTATCAAGATAACAGATTTCCTATCTGCTCTTCTTGTTTCTTACATATAAAATTAAATAATTATTTTCTTAAATATAATATACTCTTATATTCTTNNNNATATAAATATATATATAAATAGAATAATTGAAAATATAAACATCCCCCACATTAATGTAAAATCAATCTTTAAAAGAGAGAGATATGCGATCGTCGGGTTGTCAAGTTAAAAATAAAATAAGAAGGAGTAAAAAGATCTCTCTCGCGCCTGTACAAGAATCGACGAAACTTTCGTAACGAGGGCTGCCGCCGCGTCGGACGCCGCGATGCGAGATAAAAGGGGGCGAGAAAGAGAGAGGTCAGCAGCCGCCCCCTTTCGCTTCGCTCGTTTCCTCTCTCTCGGATAAGGGGTGAGTGACTCACGTTCCGCCGGCCTCGACGTCGGGACGCGAACGCCTACCCTCCAAATATTGATTCGCTCGCCCGAGGAACGCACGCGTCGGTCGCAACGCGTGTCGTGTATCGGGAGGCTTTCTCCGCGACGTTTTCGTTACAGCACCCTTCGTTTTAGGTCTTCCTCGAGTCGAATTTCCCTCGGGAGACATAGCGCGTCTCTCATTCTCGAGGCGAAATCTTGTCGCGAAAACGCTTTATAGTTTTTTCTCCTTTTTCCAAATTAAAAGGATGGCAGAAATGGAGTAAGTCGATAATTTGTGGCTTTTTTTTTTAAATACAATTCGTATCTCAATATCTTAAAATGAATTTATTCCACTCTGTGAAAAATTCAGCGATATATCTCATTAAATGCATCGCTATTTTTTATCACTCAGATGTGGATTTTATTTATTGTTAGAGGTAAGCCTGAGTAAGATTTAAATGCCTAAGATTTGTGTAAAGTACGTTTTTATATATTTTTTCAATATATCTATTGTTGTGTATTGTAATATCATCTATTATTTGTCAAGATGAATGTAACCAGTTAATTATATATGCATAAAAAAAGCTTTTTTTCTGAACAATAACAATTGATTACTAAAAAATTATATAAGTATCATTAAATTTCTTTCTATTTTGTATGATTCGTGAGAACAAAATATAAAAATAAAACTTTTTCGCGTTTCTTCCTAAGCATTTATCAAGTAAACAAGTAATTTTTTTTAGCTACATTCTTTCTTTGTTTAACTACATTTTAACTTCTCTCTTTTAACTAGAATATGATAATAGCGAATGATAATAAATAGCGAAAATAATAACACAAATAACAAAGAAGAGGAGTTTCAAAATAATATTCCAAATTTTTATATTTTTATTTTTCATATTTTATAAAAGACAGGCTAAGTTTCTCGCATATTTTCTCCTGACGCGTTCTTAGATTTATAGTATTTTTCTACAACCTGTCTCACAATCAGTTTTGACTGATATACAGCGACATATTATCGATTGACAGCGCGGGTGTTTTTTGTCATCGGCGGAGAAGCCGCGCGGGAAGGAAACTCCTTCACGACCGGATAACAAGCCGGAGATTCGTTATCCGACACGGCGTCGGTGGCAATTAAAAAGCTCGCTTTTCCCGTGGGAAAGCGTCGACACGATCGAGAGGGGGAAGAAGGGACAGAAGCGGCGCGAGAAGAAGCTTCGCATGCACACGCGACGGGCAAGAGGAGGAAGAAGAACCGCGGTCGCAGAGGTCACTCACCGTCTCGCCAAGGTCGCCGCCGAATCCGTCACATCTCTCTTTCTCTCTCGCAAATCCACGATATCACAATTGATCTCTCGATGGGTCACACACCGGCACACGCGGTATATTTGAACGGAGCGCGAAATAAAAAAATCTCAGTCGCTGAAAAATTCGCGCCACGCTGCGCGAAACGTATCCTCTCGCGTCGGCGTCGCGACTGCCGTCGTGCGTCTCCGTCCCCGTCGTCGCCGATCGCGCGCCACCACACGTGCGCGTCGCTCGCCACCACACGTGCGCGACGCGCTCACTCGACTACACGCGCACGTGAGCGGGTGCGCCGCGCGCGTGCGCGCGCACACACCTGTACGCAGACGGTGACGTACACGTGACATCTGGAAACCCTTCCCGTCGAGTCTGCTTCTATTATCGATCTTTTTTTGATGATTTCTAGTTATGTATATGCGTAATTATATAATCTATGTTGCTATATATATAGAGAGAGTGATTCATGAATATCCGAACGTTTATCCATTATATTCGAACGTTTCTTTAAAACATTCAGATTAAATTTGTTCTTATATGTTTTGTACGCTTCTCTCCTCTTTCCTTCTTGTAATACTATATTAATAATACAAAGTTTTATGAAACTTCTACATTTCATTAATTTCGTAATTAAATATGTCTCTCTAAAAAAACTCTAATTTATAATTTTGTATTAGTATAATTAAATAAAATTAAATAAAATTGAAATTTGAATTAAATTAAAAATTTAAATTAAATTAAATTAAATAGTATGATTTAATCCTAATATATTTATCTATTTGCATCTAATTATATATATATATCAAATATATAAATTGTGCATTACAGCTGTGGCTCGTTTAATTAAATAATTTTTAATTCTTTTCTGTGAGAAATCGGGAATTTTCTCATCGTGAGTCTGATGGAGCCCAGTTTGACGTCGGCCCTGTCTGCGCGTTTATTCACTCGCATACGTGTACGTATGTGCGTGCGTGCATGCGTACTTTCGTGCGTACGCGACGCGACTGTAACCGCCGGAGGACGACTACCTGTTCGGCGTGTCTCATCGACTCTAATCAGTGATACGTCGCAATAAAGATGAAACGAATAAAATCGCGCGAGAGAACAAAGCCTAGATTTAATTGTCAAGATATCTAACGTGAAAAATTAGGAAAATATTAAGAAGTACAATATTTTATGAAATTTTTGCTTTAAATTGATCGAAAAAATCCATGAATGAAGTTTGTGTATCTGTAATTTTGTGACACCCTATATAAGTGAATTCTATTACCTGCGCGTATGTGTGTGTGAAGACACTTGCCGTTTTTTAGACACACATGTCGGTCTTGACGCTTGTTTTGTGGGAACAATCTTGCGACTTGATCGAGAAATTTAGAAATATCGATTCAGAACGAATGTTGATTGGCAAGAGCGTATTTTATATTCGAATTTCAATTATGTTGGATTATGTAATCGTATAAGAGGATTGAATTGAATCAATTTTTGAAAGAGAAAGGAACGGCCTTTGTCATCTCCTTGTGAGTTGACGTGTCGGTGCACAGGGCGCGCCAGCTCGCCGACAATGGTATCGTATTATTTTTATCCATAATGCCTTTTGTATATATATATGTGTATATAAGAAATTTATATATTGTACATCATATAAAAAATATATATAATTTTAAGAAAACTAAAATTCTCATAATTTTCTGAAGCATCAAAGCTAGCTTTAAATTAATAATTACCAGTTTGTAATATAAAGAAAGATTCAAATACTAAAAATTAATAATCTAAGAGACATTTTTTTTACTATCTTAATCCATCCATAAAAATTAAAATCTATCGGATTTAATAAATCTGACACTTGAGCGAAAGTGCAATTATCATCCGTGAGCATCGATCATCAAACACGTGTTACCGGTCCGAATCTTTCTTTTGGAGCATTTCTCGTCGACGAGAGGCTCGAGTCGTCTTAATTAACCGATAGCGTATCAAGTCGAAAAACCAGAATCGACATTGGTCACGGAATATCGCGAGCGGAACAAGATACGCTCAATGACGCGAAGTTAATTTATTATCGAGGATTAATGTCCCGGGGGAAAAAAAAATCGGTTACTACCACCGTAATTTGTACGACTGTCGCCTGTGAATAATTTCGAACCGAATGGAGCTGGACCGGTTGGATCGTCGTCCTCCCTTCCGGGAGTCCGTCTGTCCAAAATACGTATTCTGCGATTGTCCCGAAACACACTTGAACGATACGAAAAAATGTTTCGAAGTAGATGTGGATCGTATGATAGAGAAATTGCGACAACTCGTGTCGGATCCTGTCACCAGCGATCACGTCGAAAGGATATCGCGACTCTTGTACTATTATTTACGCGAGATCGGCGACGAGGGCTACGTATCCTTTGATCTATCGACATATTGAAAAGTACCCGCGATAACAAAAACTTTTTGGAAAAATTATCGAGCTTGCTAATTTTGTTAAAAAAAAATAAGAGGCACGTCAGTATTACACTCGCTTTACAATATTGTAATTTTATAATGTGAGATTTTAACTTTAATTTCAAGAATAATTCTAATTGTAAGTAAATATGTGATAAACATAAATGTAGTTAATTAAAATAATTTAAAGATTTTAAATGATATATTTATTAAAAGATATCGTTTATATAATGATATCTTTAATATATGATACGATATCTTTTTTTATCATTAAAAGATATCTTTTAATAATATATATCTTTCAATAAAGATATCATTTACATATAAATGAGAATATTTAGAAAATTAATTTATTGCTTTCATTTTAATTTCTTTCACCGCAGTGAAATGAATTTATTACTCGCTTGTGCTACATACCTCAATTCCTCCGACATTTCTCGAGCATTTCCTTAAAGACACCTTTCAGCCAGTCAAGCACCTGCCGGCTGTAACGAAGGTGCTAGAGTTTCTAGCCTGGAAGTCCCGAGAAGTCAGTGACTATCGAGTGCATTTGTACCGGATGTTGCACTTGTGCAATCGACCACCTTTGCTGAAACGTACTTCCGAGAGTCTCGTTAGCCTCGCCATAATGGAGCACTATTTCACGACGCTGGGCTATCTCCTGATAATTTTGCCAAACGAAGAAGAGATCCAGCAGATTCACGAGGCTCTTGATTGCTTATTAATCGAACGAAAGAAAGCGACGAACGTCGCGGCGATAAAATTGGATCTCCGTCGACGAGCGATGGAGAATTCCAAATTATCGATCATCATCGTCCAATTGCTGGAGGCTGCTTTGACGAGAATGTACCCGAAGATCTTGGAACTGACCTTCATGCTTGCCTCGATCTCTTCCCAATGTTGTGAGTAATTAAAAAATCGGAATATATTATATAGAATATTGTAAAAAAAATATATTATAAATTCAATTCACAATTTAATCTAACTAATTTTAAAATAAATCTCGATTGTAAACTTTTTTTCAAAAATTTTTAACAACATATATATATATCAAGCCTCTCACTGCCAAGAATAAAAAAATTGTCCGGTGCAACAATATTTCAGCAGATTACCATATTCGCTTATATATCATATAATTCATTCAAATATTATTCCAACATAAATTTGAATGCCAGGACAAAATGAAAGCGAGAGAGAGACAATTGCGGTATCATCTGAAGCTTTCATTTACTTTTTAATAAAGGTTACAAAATGCTGGAAGCCGGCATACTGAATACGCTACTCACCAGAATGGATCTTCCTTATGCGACACAGCTGCGCTGTATCAGACCTCCGGACATGCCGATCGAAGGAGAGGAATATCCAAGGGACATCATGCTCCTGAAAATGAAATTGTTATGGAGCCTTATGAGATGGGTGTTGCCTCCGAATAAGCTACCGGAGAGCCTAAAAAATCTTTCTTCGCCCAAGCAATGCGCCATGTGGTATTATTTATTTATGAATAATAAGCAAATTAAAATATAGTAAGTCTAGCTATAAAGTATATTTTTTATTCCTTAAAGCTTGAATATTATTTATGAATTATTTAGATGTTAAATAATTAATAAATTATATCCATGTTTTAAGGAATAAAAAGAGATATATTAGATTCAGATGTTATTTGTATATCAATTTCGGGTATAAAATGTATAATTTTTGACGCAGTACAGGGGCTTAAGATATTCTTTCAAGCGGCAGATAGTTTACGGCCAATATTGCGCCGACAATTTAAAAATCAGAAACGATATCGCCGCGTTGATCCTCGCTGGGATCGTGGCTTTACCGTCGTGGAATCTCATCAGCAGCGGTATCGCGCAAGATATCATCGATCTTTTATCTACGATCGAATCTGGCACTATTAAAATATGGACGAAGGATGTTAAGTTTTCAGACAGTGACGAGAATTTCTTTTTCAATAGAATTCTACTGATGATCATCGCTTATCTCGCCGAAATCGACATTTATGTTTTCGTAAGTTGGTCTTATCAATTTTGTTTTATAAATTTTATGAATTTTTATAAATTGTCATAATAAACAAGGTACAGAAAATATGATAAAAATTGTTTTCTGTAAAGTTTATTATATTCTAATATTATCTTTGTCTGAAATTAATTTTGAAAGTTTAGTTTAATAAGAAAAAAATATGGATTATTTATAAATTTCAAGAGAGATATATCGATAGAGTTTTTTAATCTGTTAGGTGATGCAGAAAATGATGATCATGCCGGTTATTCTTCGGATCATTAGAACCTACATGAGCAGTAAAAAGAAAAAAGGGTCTTCTTTGTCGTTGATCCTTTTGGAGCATGCATTATATATTTTATCGCTGTTGGCACCACGGATGAAAGCAGAATTTGTAAAATACAAAGGCACACGCACGTAAAAAAGAAAAAACAAAAATAGAAAAAAATAAACGAGAATTTAACACAAAATAAGAACTAAAATACAAATTTGAATATCTATAGATTATTTGCGATGCTTGATCGAGTTTTGAATATGGAATTTGACGAGCATTTTGCGATGATTGTTACGAGAACAATCTGCTCGATAACCCTACAAG